TGAATCTAAATTTAACAAAATAATATAAGTTAAGACTCTAGGCAGGTAAATGACTTTTATTTTTTTGTTGGTTTTTGTTGTTTTAAATATTTCATGTTTTAATAATTTATAAGATATGACTTATGAGTATTGAATTTTAATTTATATATTATTTGAGAATTTGTCTATTGTGAATTATAATATTAAAAATTAATTTGAGTATCATAAAATGTGAATATGTGATTTATGAAAATTGAAAATGAGAAATTGGGGAATTTATAATTTGTGATGAATTGGTGTTGAAAATTGACTTTAATTAGATTTTAAAATTAATTTTAATTACGTTTAATCTTTGATTAACGCTCAATTCTCATATTGATTATGGAATGATTTTTTCAACTAAATCTCAATCTAGTTCTTGTAATGGTATATATGATCTATCAACTACTTTTAGTCAAGCAAACGATTTGTTAAGCATTGATAACACAAAAAAGTTTATATAGATCGAAGAATTTTTAATATTATTTAATTTAATATTAATAAACGATATCAATATACAGCCGTTGACTATCGATAATCAACGACCGTCCTAATTGAGTCAAAGTCCTAAATTCACCCCTGACTGCGATCGCTACTGCAAATTATGAGAAGAGAGATAAAGCAGGGAGATTATAGAGCGAGTACGCAAAATAGTTGTTAATTTTCAAAACTTTATTTTTATCTCTAATTCGTTTTCAATTACATAAAACTCACAAATTTTATCAAATTTTAACCACAAATTCTATCAAAATCCATTAAAAATCTAATTTTTAACTATACTAAAAACCAGGGCTTAATATAAAGAATTTTGTTAATTTTACAATCAGGATTGACAACCTCCTCACAAGAGAGGAGATCAATGATTTTTTTATTGATTGTGAACCCTCCTCCCATGTGTATGATTATCAATCGAAATTGTCAACCCCCGTTATACATGTAGCAAAACCCTAATATAAATTTTCTTACAAATTTATAATTCATTCATAAATTTACTTTCATTTGTTAATATTAACAGAATAATCCACATGACTCATGAAAGTGCATAGTGACATGGTAGACATTTGACAAGTTACCTAAACGAATGGCACATGAACTTTACCCTTATGTCAAAACGTACATGAATTTTACAACGATATCAAAATCATATATAAACTCAAATTTGTATTAAAATAATACACGAACTCACAAATTTGTATTTTATTCATTCATGAATTAACTTCAATCTATCAAAGGATATTCACATGGCAAACGAAGGGTGTATGTGAAAATGACATGACAAACACTTATCATTATTAAACCATGTCATTGGAATTGCATAGTTTTAGGAGATTTAAAATTACTAAACTACTTTTAATTATGGTGATCATTGATTTCCATTTTGACAAATATGTTCCCTCTATTTCTTTAAAGCGTGTTATAATTTTTAAATCAAGCCCATGATCGTGTGATGAAAATTAAAATTAGGACCCGTTTAACCCCCTTTAAAACTCTCTAATTTAATTTAATTTTTTCTCTCTCCTACTTTCAACCACACAATCTTCAATAAAATAATATTACACTCTAATCGAAAACTTTTCCATCACACAATTTTCAAAAAAATACTATTTCCCCCCCCCCCCCCACATTGTAAATTCAAATAATGGGGGTCAAACACACTTCTGAATATTTAATAGATTTTGATAAAAGTTGATGAAGTATGTAGTTTTAAAGTTGTGGATTTCTTGAAATATGTTATTCAAATAAATTGTTGGTTTTAATTTTGATAAAAATCTAAATTTATATCTATACCAAATAGGAGTTAAATGTGATTTAAATCCATTAAAAATACAAGTCAAACGATGTTTATTTAGTAATACCAAGTGGCAATTCATTTGTCACGCAAATTGTTCTGTTAATTTTGACACGCAAAAGTTAATTAATGTATTGACATGATACATATTTGTGAGTGAAATTTGAGCTCATGTATGATTTTAATGCAAAATTAAAGTTCATGTCTGATTTTGATAAAACTGGTAAAGGTATCGCGTAATTAACGAAGTGTCAACCACGTTGTTACCAAAGAGGCACTTTATTTTTCTACGTGAATTGTTCTATCAGTTTAGCTAGACGAGAGTTAATTTATATATGAATAGAATATAAAATTTCGAGTTCATGTATTATTTTAATATAAAATTAAGATCATGTATGATTTGATATACGGGATAAAATTCATTTACAGTTCACACCTTTAAACCTAGACTCCACTTTGAACCTGTAAATTCATCTTTTAGTTTTCAAGAAAATGACCTTTTGTATATCAATGATTAGCTTATTTTGATGAGTTTACGATTTATAATTTCGCATCAACTTTGTTGCTTCCGATTTCAAATCTTGTCCCTTAGCTTTCAAGAGCACCCAACTATAGGCTTTGTGACTTGTGAGACCATATTTAGTTAATAAATTATTTAATATAAGGAAAAAGTTAAAACTTAAGACCCCCAACGTATGACTTTTAGGCCCCGTTTGAACCACATTAATATAATAATAAGAATGAAAAATATAATGATTACGGAGCTCCACACAAAAGATAAATTTTCAAATATAGTGGCTTGATATGATGAATAATGATCATATTTTTCATTTTAATGAGTAAAACAAACGCTTAATAATGAAAAGGTTTTCATGTATAAAATTTGTCTGAACTCCAGGTTTTTTTGTAGCAGGTTGATTTAACCTTTGAAACATATCATTTTAGTTCTCAACATTTTATTATTATTTCATGAGCTATTTTAGACATTTAGAGGATGGAAATCGTCTATTTAACTGTTAAAATAATCATTTTTTTTTTTAAAATATGATTATGCTCTTATTTGAGTTTGAAAAAATAAATTATGAAGTTATAGAAAACATGCAAAAGTGAAAAAGAAAACATTTTAGATGTTGGTCTCCAACCTATAGCCATTGCAGCAACTTGCCCCGCAGACCGCTTTTCTAATTAGGAATAAAGTCTCTATCTCGTCTTTCTTGCTCTTCGCCCCGCAACCTATAAAACAGATCATATTGGACTTTGAACCTTCTATTATTTATTTATATAGGATTGATTTATCCATACATCCAAGTTGGTGCTGAGAAATTGTACTATACCTCGATTGGTGATCTTAATCTTGATTTACTCCTTTTTAAGGAATCAAGAATAACTTCTACTTCTGCTTTTCTTCTACCTCCTTTTGCTTACTCTTATGAATCATCAAAGTAACGATGATTTAATACATAATAAATTGTCCATCATTTTTTACCAACAGACAAACAAGTTGGATACCAATATTTCTCTTTTCATCAATTATGGGAAAGTTAAATTCTTATTAATCAGCAATATACTATGAATAACGCTATTTGGCGCCCATCCAAATGGTCACATTTGATATGTTCAATTAAATGAATCATGTGACATTACATTTACGTGAATCTATCATTTAATACCATATAATCGTCACCTAGACTGATACTTGACGCCAGTGGTCTTGAATTGCATTACTCTTAATATAGAGCTCCACGCTATGTTTGAATACAATTGGCGACCCCAAGATTTCAACTCACGACACAAGAAATTTAAAGAAGTTTGAGATTTATATTTCTATCTAGAATCATCACTAAGGTGGTATTTTGATTGCGGTAAATATACTTCATTTATAGTAGAGTTCAAACAATAAAGGGGGTGCATCAAATTGTTGATCTGCAAGCAAAGCTTATCAAGCATTGCATATCATAGCGCACACATTAGAAGTTGAAGACACCAAATAAAATTTGAAGTTCTATGCAACTGCAATTATTTCAAACAACAATTCAAATACTCATAAATAGTCCAAATCTAGCCAAGTATAGGATGAATGGAGAACATGGGACAAGTCGAAAATCCACCAGGAAAGTAGGTGCATAGAGTCTACGCATACAATATAACAGACGATAACTGGCAATATGTTGGAGTAGTAAGAACTCTCACCCAACATTTACGGCATACACAAGACCTCTTTTGATCTACCATTCACGAGCTCCTCCATTTCTATGCAAGTTAAATAAACTTAGAACTACCATTTGCATCGCAACATCCCAACATATGCTCGCAATTGTCATATAGCGTTGGGATTGAAACTCCAATTTTTACGAAACTCCCGCGTCATACAATAGATTATCCATGATATGGAAAAATGGAAGTGAAAACGTTCAAGGAGAAGGAATTTTGCGAGCATAGCCCAATACCATCACGAAATCCTTTGCTGATGAACCTATTCTGGCAGATACTCTCTCCTGAGTAGTGGTTTGAAGCCACAGATCAACTAGGTTTTTCAATGTCAACGAGGGAATGACTGGATGTCCCATACATTTGATTTGAACCTACAAAATGACCAGCAGAAAAGTAATTGCCTAAACTAGTAACTGCAAAGACAACTTTTTTGCATTTAGCAGATGGCTATCTTCGCAAAACCAGAGTATCATACAAAATAGGCAGTCCAATTTGGCCAGTTCTTAATAGATTCTCAAACCAAACCGTTTTAAAAGGTTTGAGAAGCCTAAACCACACCATTAAAAATCTAAACCCTGACCCTCATCGAAACTAGAAGAAAAATTTTTTATTCATTTATTTTTATTTTTTTTATTTTACTTTTTTTAATATTATTATATTTTCTGTTTGAAAATTTTTGGTAGTTAAATTAGACCTCCACTGGATCCAAATCCTGACTTCAACTCTGCTAGAGGGTTATTTAGCTAATTTCACTTTATATTAACTCCTGTTGAACAAAAATGTGAAAAAATGGTTGAGAAATCATTCCAAGTGACGAATCTGATTACCTCATCTTCACTTGTAAGATTCAATTTCTTCTTGAGGTACTTCTGAATAAACGAAACTGGTATGTTCCCATCTCTGTGAAGAATGAAACAAGCATGAACAAAAAGATAATGCTTCCTTCATAAACTGTTTGATAACGGGGGGGGGGGGGGGGGGGGGGGGGGAGTGCATGCTGTTTTGCATAGGAAGATAATGCCTCTCGTCCATGTCCCAGGTGGAGGAAAATCAGAATTATGCTTCATCAATCTTTGAGAGCCCATATTAAACAGTTCCTAAGACCTCACCACTACAATTATGATCCAACAATAAAATACTTCAACCGAATGATAAACTTTGCAGAACTACAATTCCATTATCTCATACCAATTTAGCTATTGCTTGGATGGTAATTTTAAAGACGTAAAAGTAGTAAGCTTAAGTGTCCCATGGACCTAGATAACATCGTCAGAAGTGTCTATCATTACCGTGTATAAGTGATCATGCTTAATAAATGATTCAAGTATGTCTAAAGGGTTCTCTTCATTTGGTATTTGGTACAATGTTCTATACACAAAAGAACTTAAAAATTATAAGTCGATGCAATAATATCAACAAAACAGTGACCACCCAAATGGAGAGCAGAAAGAGAAACACAATAAAAAAGCTTGCACAAGTATAAGGATCATTAGTCCGTCACCACCTAATAAATAATCAGTGAAGTTGGAAGAGTTTGTATTAGGATCGGGCATAGACAACTTGCATCGTTGTCACCCATGAACCCAGAAGGATAATACAATATGACACGATGAACATGCTTGAAGAAAGATTGTAAAGTATAGTTTAACTGAAACACGAAGTTCATACTTTGCTGACTCGGTACATAAAATTTATTTAGCTATGCAGCTAATCCTATGTAAATATAGAGGTAGATAGAGCATGTAGCACTTCAGAAGATATCCAAGTGTATAATGGTTCTTAAGTAGTAAGTCTGACTAAGTTTTGCCTTCCCAGGCACAAAATAGTAAGATAAAGTTTAATTTTTCAGTCTCCTCTAGCTTCAGTACGACAATGTTTCAAAAATAGCCTACAAACAATGATATCTACTCACAATGGTCTAAACTGTAAGCTCTGATGCAAGTTGGTTACTGAAATGATACATTATGACGGGTATACATTAATACATGATTCGTTAAAAAAGAGAGATTTATGTCAATTAGAGAATAATGATGAAGATTGTAACTTCTCACTTGAAAAAGTAGATAGCAAACACATAACAACAGAAAAGTATGTCCCAATTTAAACTTGCTAGACACAAACACTGATTCACAATCCTCATTCATTTCAAGAATTTATTCTGTTGAGGAAGCAAACAAATCTTGGGAACTGTTAGATACTGAGAACTATTCATTAGGAAAAAGAGTGTTGCTAGCAAAATGACAGTGAATGCGGCAGCAACACCGACAATAGTAAATGACAAATATGTATTTAGACATTACTGGTAAGTTGAATGGAGACTGAAATGTGGAATGATTCCCCCAGCACAACACGAAACCCAGGAGAAAAGAGAAAAGTGGCAATCTGACAATTATTCCCTATTTGATAGAAATTAAAATCCAAACTTTAATATAAACCAAAGTCAACAATCAATTTTAACCACATATTTTATAGGACCCACAACTTTTCAATCATTTATTTCTTCAACTTTTATCAAAATCTACTAAAAATCTTATTTTAATCTCCACCATACAGAGGCTTGAGAAGACACATTTTTAACTTTGTATTCATAGTAATATCAACATCACTCACTTCAAATATCCCATGAATCACCTTGTGGATTTATTTCATAGGATTCGACAGTGAAATTTTATTCAGTAGATCACTCCACAGCTAGTAAGCTATAATTAATAATAAAACGAAGTGCACCGTTGATGAAGTCTATAGTTCCAGAGGATGAAGAATGTGTGAGAGAGAGAGATGAGAATGTGGAGAAAATTTAGAGCAATTAGATATGATCGAATATCCCCAATGATTGTCTCCATTATTCAAAAACACTAGTCCTGTTTATACACAAAATTTCTAACGAAATGGCAAGTGGCAAAAATTAAGAAACTTGATAGTTTTTTATGTTATAACTAATAATTATGTTACGAAAACAAATCAAAATTCAAGATAAATCTGAATCTATTTCTTATTTTTAAGAATAAAATAAGGGAGTTTTTTGGGCAAGTCTTCTATGAAATCTCAGTAACTAGGTTTTGCTGATTAGACTGGATCAATTCAGCCCAGCTACTAAAGGGACATCAATCCAAAAAGGAAGCTAGTATTCAATCATTCAAAGAATTGTCCTATTATAAGAAAGCTAACTAATCTAATATTTTTACCGAAAAGAAAAAAGCAGGCCCTACTATTATGAAAGCAGACAATTGTATTTTCATACTCAGACTAATGTCCGCAAGTTATATATTGAAGGTAAGCTAATCAGAAAGTGCAAGTTAATTTAATTATAGGACCCTAGCTAACTTTGACAAGAGAAAAAAGTACTATTTATTTGTTAATTGCAGGTCTTGTAAGTCACATTATATTAAGCCCCAATTTCGTAGAGATTAAAATCAGATTTTTAATAGATTTTAATAAAAGTTTTTAAAATGTTTGGCTGAAAAGTTGTGAATCCCATGAAATATGTGGTTAAAATTAATTGTTGACTTTGACTTATATTAAAATCTTGATTTTAATTCATACCAAACAGGGGCTAAATATCCCGTATTCCCACGAGATCACAGCAGGATTGATTATCACACTGGTGGAAAGGAAAAGCCAGCTATGACAGCTTATTTTTTACAAGGGTACAGATAATATTGTACAAAAAATAACAAATAGAGTTTCTGCGAGAGTCCTATATATTTGGGGCTTTATGAACTATTATTGTTTATTTACTATCAATTGATTTATCGATTTCCAAATTATCTACTAATGAAGTTATATGCCACTAAAGCATCACATATATGGTGGATAGTGTATAAGTAAAAACACCATAAAAATTATCTTTTAATTTACATTTATTTCGACGATGAGAATGAAATGAAGTCAATGAGAACTTACTTTATTCTCAAGTAACTTGCAGAAATCTGAGGCAAGACTGCATCTCTTCTCCTGAAAATATATTAGGCAAAAATTAGAGACTGCGGAGGGCCAGAGAGGTATATAATATGTATAACTACATTCCACCTTTTCAGAAGATTTAATTCTTGAGGACTAAAGTAAATGCTTACTGGTCATCAGAGGCTACTAACGAGAACCAAATTGGATCATTCCTTCTTTCCCATTTAGCACTGGTAGCATCAAGCACAGCCTGTGGAACCCTGAAATCTCCAAATTTATGGGTCCTCTGGCGGAACTTGCGCAGCATTTTAGGTTCATCTGGTTCTTGAGGGGGATGGTTACTGCCTTTCTTCTTATCTTGACCTTTTAATATCTTTGCATGCTCCTTGTTTTTGGGGTTACAGAGGAGTCCTTCATTGTCATGCAATTGTAGAGCTTCTGATTGAGCAACAGTCACTTGTGGGGTCAATTTAGAAGACTTACTCTTATTCGCTACTTCCACCAAACAAGTTAAAGGTTTCCAAAGATCAACTTTCCCCTCCCCTGGCTCAGAACAATTCTCTCTTTCTTTATCAGGACTAGGGTGAACAGATGGTTCAGCAGCAGTAGAATTCTGTAAGAGTACAATCAGTGAGCATGAAGAGTGATATTCGTGTATGCATGTGGCAGATTGATAAGAGCATACGGCTGTGTACCCACGAGGAAGTATATATTAGCTTCAGAAGTACATCTCTTACCAGCTTGGTACCCTGAGAAAATTTGTTCAAAATCAAAGGTGCACTAGAGCTCTCAGGGTGGTCTTCAACAGGAACTTCGCATTTCTTAGGAGATTTCTCTATCGTAAAAATGAAGCCTTTTGAAGCTTTTCTTGCAACAGATTTTGATCTTCTTCCAGTCATTCCACTATATGTTGATACTCTTGGAGTGCTGACAACCAGGGAGGAGAGAGATCTTTCCTTTCTCTTTGCAGGTAATGTGACCGGAGTCACAACTTCAGGAGCCTCCACCTTTCTCCTTTTGTATGGAAATATCTTGGCCCTCACATCTTGCAAATTATGATCCGCCCTGATCACCAAATATCAAGTTATAGCCCCTATTTGATTTAGCTAAAAGAGTTCATAAAAATCAAAGTCAAAGTCGATCATTAATTTTAATCATATATTTCATGGGAACAACAATTTTTATCAACTTTTCAACTACACATTTCGTCAAACTATATCAAAATCTACTAAACACCTACTTTTTAGCTAAACCAAACAGGGGCATAAGCTTTAACGAAAGTTTGTGTCTGTCCAAATTAACAAATTAGGGCACTAGTAAGCATTCAAATGGAACCAAAAATTTTGTTGAATGAAGCCTGTGAGGAAGAAAATTTGATTATTGATGATATGCACAAAGAAAAGAGCTATAACCCACATTAAATTTAGAGTTCTATGTTAATGATAAGCACCTTAACCTTCATACTTTTTATAATAAGAGTAATTAATATATGGGCCGTTGAGATGAAAAGTACTGTGATTAGATAGAATTCAAGATGAAGACTTCCTGTCATAAAAATAAAATAATAATTCAATAAAAAATTGAAATGCTGAACCTGCTTGTGAAAAATACTATGCTTATAGTGGAGGTAATACGAAAAACAAATTTCTCTTTACTACAAAATAAGTTCAATTATGTACTGCACTAACCCAAAGGTACATGCTTCACTTTATGAACAATAAGCTTAGCATTTCAAACGTATGACACAAATGTGAAAGAGAAGAATCTAATAGGAATCTTAGTGAGAAGCATGGCGAACCAGACAATGCTCAGTGTTTCGAAGGTATCCAAATGGTTTGAGAGAGGGTGGATATAAACAAAAACAAGTTAGAAGAAGTATCTGACCTCAACTTTTCCAATGGAACACATCCTAAATGGATATTGCATATTGGACAGAATTCCATTTCCTCGTCAGAGAGCTTCTTATATATGCATTTCCTGCAAACTGCATGATATAACAAGAATATCAGATTCGTCACTAAAAATTACTGGTACAAACAAAGAAAGAGAATTTCTTGAATCCATCACAATCTAAACGAGAAGGAAGGCAAACGTCATTATCTGACCCTGAGTTTTAAGGACCACCCAACAGTAATCTTGGTTGTAAAGCAGTAGAAAGTGTTCTTATTTTAGGGATAACTATATTAATGGCCAAATATTCCAAGACAACGCAGAAACATGTAGACTCTTAAATAACTGACAGTCAAGTCATAGTGCCGATATTTACTTCTCTGATTGTTGGTGGATGCCAATAGCACTAACCAAATTTTTGTTTGCACTTAAAATAAAAATACCGAACCTCTCAAACAAACAAAAGGAGAAGCATAAATCATACACACACTTGCAGTTCTAATCTGACGCCAGAATCACAACCCATGGGATGAGGATCAGAAGGCGAGGAGGGAGAAATCTAGAATTCGTAATCGGAACTAATTCAAATTTCGACGATCCTTGGAAAAAAATTAACAAAAGAATAAAAAATAAAAAAATTGCTGCTTTATATATAATTAATCAATGAATGGTCCAGATGTAAACAGGAAATTCAAAGGGATGAAAATTATTCAACTCGCACAAATAAGTCTAAAAATTTTCCCATAAGCAGACATAAAATCCAAGACTCTACACCAGATAATACAAAAAAATATATATATATGGAATAGAAAAATTGAAGAAACCCCATAGGCGCATATGAAGTGGACAGATCCTTAACGAGCAATCCACGCCAACACGATCCCAGATTCCAAAACACTAAAAACACCCAGACCTCAGAGTATGTCAGAATTTGAGGGATGAACTCTCGAAGGGTATCAAACAACAGAATTCCAAAAAATTACTCAAACAAAGAGTTCACTCACACGTATGGAGGCATTCGATAATAGTGGCGGCATCACGGAAGAGCTTGTGGCAAAGAGGACATGTCATGCATGGCGCTAGCACATCCCGCTTTAACTTCACCACCTGATTCGACATCTCAATCTAATTGTTTCGGGACTTTCTAAATTAACGAAATATACAGTAATAATTCCTCGTGAGTTACGCGGTGCATGCTAGTTCAACAACATGGAATAGGGGATTAACGTCCATTCCCACTTCACTTTCTCAGTTATATCTGCATTAAACACATAAACCAAAACCCACAAATTGTAATCACCAGAACAAACTACCTTCGCATCTAATAACACGTATAACCGGGTAAATATTTGTCGATGTGGGTTGGATTAGTGTCTTTATGAACCAGTGAATAGGATTAGGATGGGTGATTTGGGTAAATGGCGACGAGGCTTGGAGCAGTGACCTGTCGTCACTGTTCTAGGCTTGGGTTTGGGAGTAGAAATCGAGAGAATCGTTCGTGCGGGGGGGGGGGGGGCTTGG